TTCAGCGAGGCCGTTCTGGTGGTGGAGGTTACGGTGTTACCGCTTCTGGAGCTGCTGGTGCAGGAGGTACTAGTGGTGCTGCTAGTGCTGGAGGTGCTAGAGGTGCCACTGGAGGTGCTGGAGGTACTGGAGCTTCTGGTACTGGAGGTGCTGGTGCTACTGGTGCTGGAGCTGCTGGAGGTGCTGGTCCTGGAGGTGCTTGTACTAGAGGTGCTGGAGCTGCCGGAGCTGGTGGTGCTGGTGGTGCTACTGACGCTGCTGCCATTGGAGGTGCTCGTGCTAGAGGCGCTGGAGCTGGAGGTACTGGAGGTGCTGGAGCTGCTGGTCCTGGAGGTGCTCGTACTGGAGGTGCTGGAGCTGCCGGAGTTGGTCGTGCTACTGGTGTTGAGGTGCTGGAGGTGCTGCTGGAGGTGCTAGGGGTATTGGAGCTGCTGGCACTGGAGGTGCTGGTGCTACTGGTGTTGGAGTTGATGGAGCTGGTGGTACTGCTGGTGCTGGAGGTGCTGTTGGAGGTGCTGGCAGTGGAGGTGCTGGTGCTGCTGGTGGTGGAGGTGTTGGAGGTGCTGCTGATACTGGAGGCGCTGGAGCTGGAGGTACAGGAGGTACTGGAGCTGCTGACGGTACGAGTACTGCGCCGCGCCGACCGTTTTTCTACCCGCGGCCACAGTCGTCCCTTCCACCGCCTGACTCAGCCCTTCGCCAGGTTCTTAGTCTACCGTCTTCCACTGGTCTCACTCCACCTCTCCTGTGTCCAACGATAGACCAGTCTTAACCAGAGCTACTGCCTAGCTCCCCGCTGCCTGCTCCTACTCCTCACACTGAGGTGACTCAGTCCCCGACTGAGCGTCGTTAGCCTCAGACTCGTGCTTCCACACCTGTTCGTGCTCGTCGTGTCGCCCGTCCTCGTCCTCCTGCTGTCCCAGGCACTCACGGTATGGCACTTCGTCCTTCCTCTGTTCCACAGCGTGTTGTCCTGCCTGAGCCTCCCGCGTCCTCTCCTCCGCACAGTCCTGACCCTGAGTCTGACCTTGCTCATGCTGCCAGTCCTACTTTCACTCGTCTCCTCGCTACTGTAGTCACTGACCCTGACTTTGAGTCTACTGCTGCGTTTGCCCTAGTCACTGAGCTAGTCGACTTTGCAGCTAGGAGTCGTCTCGACTACGTCGCGACTCTTGTTACCGAGTCGGAGTCTGTCTGTCCTCCGTCCGTCGGGGGTGAACCTGCCCTTGGCAAAGACGTCCTTGAGGAAAGGCAGTTTGAGCTTGAGTGTCTTGCGACCATTTTACCTCGTTTCGCATCCATGCTACTTTGCCCTAAGGGAGACCCGGATGCACTTGACATCCCGACATCGCGCTCTTACGCTGAGGCGATCGCGGGTGAGTACTCCTCTTAGTGGCAGACAGCCATGGACGCAGAGATGGCTTCCTGGAAGTCCACAGGCACCTACGTCGACGAGGTTCTTCATCCTGGGGCGAACATAGTCGATGGCATGTGGATCTTCAGAGTGAAGCGGCCACCGAGTTCTCCGCCTGCCTTCAAGGCGCGTTACGTTGCTCAAGGCTTCAGTCAGCGACAGGGGGTCGACTACTTCCAGACCTTCTCCCCCACCCCCAAGATGACTACTCTTCGGGTGTTGCTGCACGTTGCAGCACAGCGCGACTACGAGCTGCACTCCCTCGAATTCTCCACAGGTTTCTTACAGGGCAGCCTTCACGAGGAGATATGGCTGGCCGCCCACCTGCCTTCACTGGGTCGTTTCCTGCTGGTACCCAGTGGAGCCTCTGGCGGCCAGTCTACTCTCCGCCAGGCGCCCCGCGAGTGGCACGACACACTGAGGACTACAGTTGCGGCTCTTAGGTTTGCTCCTTCCTCTGCTGACCCGTTGCTGTTTCTACGCACCAACACTACCCTTCCGCCATTCTACGTTCTCGTGTACGTCGACGACTTAGTTTTTTTTACTGCTGACACTGAGGCGCTGGTCCTAGTGAAGACGGAGCTGCAGAAGAGACACACCTGCACTGACCTGGATGAGCTGCGTAGCTATCTTGGCTTGCAGATCACCCGGCACAGAGCACGACGCACCATCACCCTCACTCAGTCACACATGGTGCACCAGGTCCTTCAGCGCTTCGGCTTCCAGTACTCCTCACCACAGCCCACTCCTCTGTCTACTGGCCACTCGCTCTCAGCTCCACCTTCGGACGAGTCTGTAGTGTTACGATGCGATCTTAACTGGTAACCGGGTTTAAATAGGGGCTACGCTTAGTAGCCTAGGCCAAGCGGGTGTTGAGGGTGGCGAGGGCGAGGGTCGAAGGGATTTGACCAAACCAGTGTGCTTCACTAAAAGCAAAGCATACAAGATATAGTCGAGAAACACAAACAAGAGGTGCACCACCAACAGCAAAGAACAATAACTACAGTAACTACAGCAAGGAGGATATATCTTAAATATAACTTTGACACGTAGAGCCGAGTGGTCCGTATCCAGAGCTTGTGGGTTGCCTCATGTACCTGTTGATGTGCACACGAGCTGACCTCGCGTACCCTCTCAGCCTCTTGGCTCGCTACGTGACTCCCGGCCGACACCGAAAGGTGCACTGGGATGCTGCGAAGAGTGTACTGCGTTATTTGTGCAGTACATCGGGCATGGGGCTCGTGCTTGGAGGACAGGGTTCAGTGGTACTCACAGGACACTCCGACGCTTCTTGAGCCGACGACCAGGCGACTCAGCGTTTGTCACAGGGTTACACCTTCAGTCTTGGCTCTGGTTCTATCTCGTGGAGGTCCACTCGTTCTGCTTCTGTGCTTGGTTCCAGCTGTGAGGCCGAGATCTACGCTGGGGCTATGGCTGCACAGGAGTTACGCTGGCTGACCTACCTGCTGACCGACTTACGGGAGCGGCCTCGTTCTCCTTCAGTTCTGTACGTCGACAAGAAGGCCATGCTTGCCTTGTGTAAGGAGCAGAGACTGGAGCATAGAACGAAGCACATTGCTCTTCGCTACTTCCTTGCTCGAGAGATGCAGCAGCGTGGTCAGCTCCGCCTTTCCTACGTGGGCCAACACTGCTGATGTCTTCACCAAGGCCCTTGGGTCTGGTGATCATCAGCGTTTCTCCACTGCCCTTGGGCTTCTGCCCACTCTGCCTCACCTGCTGGTTGCTTGACTTGCCTTGTACTGTGGTCTCTATATATATACATGCATGCTTGCTCTTGCTAGGTTGTGATCACTGTACTGCTTGTGTTTCTATAACTCTGCACGTAAACTGGCCTTGTGGCCACTTGCTTGTGCTCAAACTGTGTGGTGATCTTGAGATCCACCCTGGGCTTTGCTTTGTTTGCTTCTCCTGACTGGTATTGTGACCACTGTTTGGTTTGGCTATCCCCTACTTCAGCTATGGGGGTGTGTCAAAACATTATATGCTTTCTATATTTCTAGGCTATGTAGGGGTTATCTTTAGAGGGTACAACACTTTTCTCGACACTCTTGTACCCCCCTCCCCCCTTACCTAATCGACCATCACTTTCTCGCTACTTCTAACATGATCCTCCTGTGTCGGGAGCATGGACAGGAGGGCAGAGTGAAGCATATCGAGCTGCGGGACTTCCTGCTGCGAGAGCTGCAGCGATGCGGTCAGGTACGCTTCGTCTTTGTGGCCTCAGAGGCCAACACTGCGGACATCTTTACCAAGGCTCTCCAGCCTTGTGATCACCACAGGTTCTATTTGCAGCCTGGCCTTGTTCAGACAGGTCCTCGTTTGGTGTAGCTTTGTCTCTTGTATTGTATCTTGTATTGCTTGTGATGTTGCTTATACATGACCTCTTGAACTGGCTTGTGGCCATTTATCTCAAGGGAAGGCAAGTTGTACCACCCTGAGTTGCATCACTTGCTTTGTTGCTTCTGCTGACTGGTCATGTTACCACTTTTATAAGAGGCTGGGCTAGAAGTGCCGCCCTGATTTGTTTCTTGCCTACGAGGCACAACTCCCCTTGCCTAGCATGTGGGGGTGTGAAAAAATGCATTTGTTACATTCATTGGTGTTACCGTACATTTGTTAGCCTAGGTTAGGGTTAGCTACTTGTACCACTTTCTTGTTCAGTTCGGTCATTCCGTTGTTTCTACTCTGACAGTTACAGTGTTAATATTACCGTCATCGCCCGGATAGTAGATAGTGTTGAATAGTAGATAGGGGTTGTCTATTATCCGGGTGTCTCTTATAAACAGGCTAGCCTCATTATAAGACACCTATTTGTGTGTACGAGTTAAGCCAGTGTAGGGGTTAGGGGCAATTGTATTACGAGGGGGTATCTTCTAAACGGTTCTTTGTCCATTTATAAGACTTATAAGACACCCTAAACCGTCCCAAACCCAAATACAAGATAACACAAGCATTTTGAGTAGTGTACGAGATAAGACATATACGTCTACTATCCGGGCGATGACGGGTATCACTATCCTAGAATTTCAGGGCAAACCAACGATCCCATCCTGAAATCAGGGTAATCACGATGTTTTGCCCTGATATCGAGGGGCCTGGGCGTGGGTCGGAAGGCAGGCAACTCTGAACATTCAGTGTTACCAAGCCAAAACGCATAGTCGTTGTTAACAATTGCAAACGCTACGGTACCTAGATTGCAGGCTCGGTACACTAAGGGCCCTGATAATCAGTGAACTCAAGAGAATAATGCCTAAGGCCGACATCGAGTTGCACACTTCTCACACATCTAAAGTTCTTGTATCGTCGTGGCTCATGACGGTTCCACACTGTGAAAAGCGGTTCTCACGGCTTACCGTTTTGTACCGCAACGAAACGAAGTTGACCACAGAGAGCGCACAGAGAGTTGTGCAACCTGTCGTCGCCCTAACATTAGAGCCTAAACCGAATGAGGGGTTACTGTTGGGTGTTCTTTTCAGATTCTTGTTCAAAAGCTTTACACACAGGGCAAGAGATACAGCACGTTGTGAAAGCAGCACATGATTCCAACCAAAGAACAAAAAGAAAGTTAGAATGACATAATATCGTGAAGTTGTGCTATTACCACTTCCATAGGTCCATCATCCAGCACCACTATATCAAACGACCTCTTATAGAGGTCCAACTGGTTCAAGAACCCCACCGAAATCTGATTGCTCATGCTCACGCCCTCCGACATGCCCAGATCGCCCAGATGGTCCCCCAATAGAATCACATTCATCCTGCTCCACACCTCCGCCACCTCCTCTGCAGCTGTGATTGTACCCGGCATGACTGTATCAGTTCCAGCCTCCGTATCGACACCTTGAGGAGCCATGGTCAGCACCTGGGTGGTGGCAGCTGAGTTGGTGTGTGCATCTATGGTGGTGGCATTGCCATGAGAGGGGGAGTGAGTGGGAGCGGTGGGCTCATCCATGGCTGCTAGCTCCAAGGCGTGCTCGTTCTTGTTCAACACGTGGATGATGCGCCCTGCAGGTGTGGTAACGCAAGGGATGGGAAGGTAAGGTAAGGCACGTGATGATGTGCCATGCAGTGTAAGGCATGGGGATTGGCATGTTACACAACACAAGACATGGGTTGAGTGTGTGGGAAGGCGAAGAGGAGGGGTTGGATTAGCCGGCTCTAAGAAAAGCTCCTTGCTGAGGAATGCAAGGGTGAGCCATGGTGCCTTTTACGGCAAATTGAATAGCAGACATGTAAGGCAGAAAGTTTTGCATCAGCACATCACAAACACAAACATAGACAGACGAGCAGTGTGCCCCTGCACGCACACAGGAATAGTCACTGCACATAACTTGGAGGGACATGTTACTGTGTCTCACAAAAAATGATTTCAGCACATTCGAAAGTAAAGAGGAATACAGGAAGCGTGGACAACAGAGGGAAAGGATGAAATAGAAGGAACCCAGGATAGGTAATAAAAGTTTTGAACATGACAAACACCTGAGGCGGCCCCAGAGTGAACGAGGACAAGACGTGAACAAGTCATGAGCACCCGCTTCATCTCTGCTATTTGTCATGACTGGTGGCATGAGTAAGCACACACCTGCATGGACTTGGAGATTTCTGGAGAAAACTAACCTGGAAAGGCGATAAGGCGTCCAGATTCATCGAACTGCATTCGGTTGGATACGACTCGCACGTTGGAAAAGGAGTGAGGAAGCTGCTGCTGCAGTAGCTGAGAGATGGGCGTCGGAGTGATTAATGAGAGGGGGTGAGAGGGGGTGGGAGAAGGTGGGAGGGGGTGAGAGGGGTTGAGAAGGGCAGAGGGGGAGTTACGATGGGCTGCACCCTTCATTGCACACACAGCCATATACATCGTACAGATGGTGCTCGCCCAGACTTGGAATATAGTGCAAGGCATGCATGGACTAAGATAGTTTTGTGCAAGGCATGTCACAACCACGGAGTGCAAGCATGCCTTGGCTGCCTTGCTTCTCCATGGCATCTCACTCACATCTCCCATGACATCTGCTCTGCACTACACTATCCGAGTCCATGCATGCCCTTCATTCCATGCATGCATGACATCCATCTCAACCATGCCACCCATCCCACTCATGCCATGCCCTATCCTAATCCATGCATGCCATGCCATGTGCCACCCATGCGCCATGACACGCCATGTGCCATGCCATGTGCCCTGCCCTGTCCTGCCCTGCCCTGCCCTGCCCTGCCCTGCCATGCCATGCCATGCCATGCCATGCCATGCCCTGTCCTGCCCTGCCATGCCATGCCATGCCATGCCATGCCCTGTCCTGCCCTGCCATGCCATGCCATGCCATGCCCTGCCATGCCATGCCATGCCATGCCATGCCATGCCATGCCATGCCATGCCATGCCATGCCATGCCCTGCCCTGCCCTGCCCTGCCATCCCATGCCATGCACCGCACCTCTTAAATCACGTCTGCCAGCCCAGCAGAGAAGATGAGCAGCGGCACGCCGTGGGCCTGTGAGGCACGCAAGGGGAGGTGGGGGGGAGGAGGGTGGAGATGCAGGAGGGAACCATGGGTGGTGGTGAAATGGGGAGATGTTATTGGCGGTGCAAAGGCATGAGGTGAGTCATTGTCCATGCTGGCAGAAAAGCAAGGCCATCCAACCCCACGCACCTGCATGCTGGCAACACTCAATGCTGTTATCCGCTGTGCGGACGCATGGGATTCATGAAACACCACTATTAGTGATGGTGGGCGGGACAAAGTTGACAGTCCAACGAGTCAACGGAGGCAGCAAGGTCGGCCCACCCACTCACCTGCAGCACTGCCGCTCACCTGCAGCACTGCCGCTCACCTGCAGCACTGCCGCTCACCTGCAGCACTGCCGCTCACCTCCAGCAGGGCAAGCATGTCGCAGAAGCCGTCACGGAAGGCAGTGTTGGCAGCGGCCACACTCTGAGTGACGTCAGCGCGGGTGATTCCACTTTCCAGCAGCAGCTCGTGTGCTGCCGTCCACCTGCCATGTGGGGGTAACCCGTACGGTACTACGGTGGATACAGAGCGGTGCAAGCAACGTGGTTGAGGTGAGGACAATGTGGTACAAAGCTGGTTGCAGTGTGGCCGCGGGGTGATTCCACTCTCCAGAGGCAGCTCGTGTGCAACGGCCCACATGCCCGTGCACAGTGCTGCCAGCGTGCACAGTGTCACGGACTCACGGTCACAATGTAACAACAGTGGTTCCATCGTGCTGCGTGTGTATCATCCGCATGGCATGGCATGGCATGGTTAGCAATGCTCGCCAACAGCAGCTGTGGCGCTGATGCCCCTCGATCAGTGCAGGTGACACACGGCATCGACTCTCAAGGCACATCCAAGGTGCGCTCCATAAAGTTAGACCCGCACCGCACCCTGCACTGCAGTGACTTGAACGGCACGTGACATGCCATGGGACCACGTGCTTGTTCCAATGCGCACCACCTCACACACTCACCACCACCCATCTCACATGGAGCAAAGTCGGATCGGGTGTCTGTCTACCCCACCACTCCACTCCAACCACCAACCGGCAACCTTGTCCGCACAGCATCGACATACTGCCCCGAGGATACGAGTCGTACCAGCCGTGTGGAGAAGGTCTCTATGGGCAGGACCTGCGCTGCTACCCTACCCACAGAACCCGTCCCTCTGCCCAACATTCCATCCCATGCACCTACGAGCAGCACGAACCCACCATGCCACCATGCATTGCAGCTTCTGCTCATAGGGGAGGCGAGGGTCCGTCTCCAAGGGCATGTACTGCGCTGCGAGTCGCATGCCCCTCGCCTCTACCTCAGGTCGGCCGCAGTACAGCAGCATGTGGCAGCCTTGCGCAGGGAGGGGAGGGCCTAGTGCACACACGGCATACAGCAGACATGATTGGGTGACGAGCGCCCACTTGACCACCACTCCCCTTCCACCACGCACGCACTCCCCCTGCTCCTCAACATCAGTATGTGGCAGCCTTGGTGAGGGAAAGGAGAAAGGGGGTGCTCAGGACGCCCAACACACACACAACTCATGCTTGATCCACGCTACCATGCACGCGCATGCGAGCAGCAGCACGCACCACTCCACCATGCACCGGAACTTCTCCTCGTATGGCATGTGCGGGTCCGTCTCCATGGGCAGGTACTTGGCTGTCAGCCTCCTGCCGCGCTCCTCCAACTCGGGGTGCCGCAGATTCAGCAGCATGTGGCAGCCTGGGCGGGGGGTGGGGTGCGAAAGAGAAGGAAAGGAGGGGAGAAACGGAAGAAAAGACGTTTAACTAACCATGCTCCTGACCCCGCCACTATGGCCCACTTGCCCTCCATGTCTTTGCCTTACCTCCCCAGCTTATACTCACCTTGATCTGACAACCATGGCGCGCTTGACACAGTCCTCTCTGCCACACAAAACCACCGCACAACCTGCCTGGCCTGTCCAGGCTCACATGCTCTGATACCATACCAACTGCACTCACTCTGGCCTTGCTTCCCGTTGACTGTGAACTTGGTGAGCGTGCGGTCGAAATCCGCTATCACCTGATCGAGTGGTGAGAGCACGGCAAAGAAAGAATAACTTTTTTATAACGACTCAGGAGTTGATTGGTGGATGTGTGGTCGAGATCCCCTATCACCTGAACGGGAGGTGGGCGGGGAGGGGGGACGGGGTGTTGGTGAGGGAGGAGTGCGGAGGAGGGGTGGAAGGGGAAAGGGGAACAGGAGAGGTGAAATCTGAGAGTGCAACGTACTCCTAAGGCTGGCAGCAGAATACTGTTTTTCTAGTAGATGAGAAACCACTGATTTATTCAAGAACCATAGCATGCTAGTACCTCGCAGCAGGTGGCGTGGTACGGTGATGGGAGCAAAAAGAAACCACCCTTGGCGGAAAAGCTCACAGCAGACGGCACGGCGATGATGGCTATAAAGTGGAGCTCACCTGCACTGTATCGCGCCCTGCTGCTATCATCGCCTGCTTCTTCCGCTGCAGTGCCTGTATATCGCGTATAATCACACCCTTCGGAACACCGCTCGTTATAGGAGCATTGGATCCGCCACTAGTCCCAGTGCCTGCTGTGCTACCCTCTACTGGCGTAGGCATGGCGACAGGCTCGGATTCCAAACCACTAGGCTCGGACGCCGAGACGGTATGTTCTGAACCAGCCGTGGCTAAGGCAAGCAGTGTTGAGTGTGCACTGACCCTGCAGACTGGGTCGTCACTTTCTGCGGGGGAGGGGAGAAATCCGCCAAAGCGAATTCTGCAGAAGTCAACGCGGAACTCTGCACTGCAGCAGAGTCACCTCGCAGAAGCGGAAAACAGGTTCCGCTGCAGACGAAGGCGAATCTGCCGAGCAGAACGTGGAGCTGCAGAGGGCGCATCTGCAGAAGTTCGGATCTGCAGAGGATGGCGCATCTGCAGAAGCGAAATTCTGCAGAGGACCGAATCTTCTACTGGCGTACCCCTCCGACGCGAAAGTGCGATCGTTTCGGAACTTTTGCGTGGGAATTTCGGAACATTGCATGACATTGAGAAATTGACCCCAGGGAACAGTGCGCGGAACTAGGGTATCAATCTGGGGCGAAACTGAACCACCTCCACAGAATGAACCTGGCGCACGTTTTCGTAACTACGAAAACGTGCGTTACAGAAGTTGTTTAAAACAACCTGAACAGCTAAAACAACTACTTTTAGGTAGGTAAAATTACCAACTAAGCACGCGTTGTAATTTTCACCTGCCGACGCCGAGTTGGCAAAGCGCAGCTAAAAGTAGTTATGTAAACGTTCTTGGGCGAACGTTCTCTGCATGGTTCATTGGTTGGGTAGCTTCTATTTCACCCTTGTTGTATTCTATTTTTCAACAATTCTAGTGAATTTTCCTTGTGTGCCAAATCTATGCCTTTTTCAACACTTAGCCAATTTTCTCCTTAGTGAACAACAAAGTTTGCGTGGCTGCAGAGAAGCATTTCGTAGAGCTCCAACTCCCGTTAGAGCAGAAATCTCTGCATGGTGCGGTGAGCGTGGATCGAACACGCATAGAGTCTGTTCTTCGACGTCAGGTCTCATTGAACTTAGCTAGTCGACATGGTGGGCTCTGAGGAAATCCTCGAGACGTTCGACAGTTTGAGTGAGCAGGAGGCTGCTTTGATGGCTCGTCATGAAGGCGGAGATCTCACCGAGCAGGAGCTCAACTTTATGCTCTTGGGAGCACGAGCTCAATGGGAGATGGACCATCCGCAGACTCGTTCAGAGGAAGACGGGGCATCACAGACTTCTGGAGACGACGAGAACGCTGAAGAACCGGAAGAAGGCGGAATGCAGGAGCCACGAGGTGTTCTAGGACAAGGAGAACTGATGAGCCCTGGTGAAGGCTCGCAGAAGAAGGATGCAAGCCCGAAGAAGGCGGCTGGCAGGGGTGGACGCTTGAGCGGTCGAGAATCTGCAGTGAAGACTGGTGGGAGCTCGGCAATCTCTCACCCGGCGGCATCGAAAGACTGCGGAATTGCTCCTGACTACGGATACTTCAAAATTTCTCCCGACAAAATCGTGGTGCCGAAGCTTCTCGAAGGACGTCATGACTTATCCGTCTAGAGGGAGTCCATCGAACCTCAACTTGAAATTGCGCAGCTGAAGCCGTTCATCGACGGCTCGATCAAGATTCCACGGCTGAGCGACACTTCACCGTATACACATTTTTTCTCGGCGCAACTTCTGACCTTTATGGTGATATCGCGATGCTGCTCTCCATCCGTGAAGATCGCCTTGAAGTCATGTCGTCTTCGAGTGGACGCGGGCTACCAGGCGTGGCGCTTCATCATGGAGACCTACAAAGCAACGGACTATCTCTATATCGGCCAGCTGGAGAGGAGCTTGGCGACGCTAGAGATGGCGGAGCATGAGACGGCGACGACCTACTGCAATCGTGTGCAGATGATTCTCGCTAATCTGCGAATGGCTGGCGTGAACTATTCGATGGCCTCGTATGTGACTCATGTCCTCACAGGTCTTCCCGCGGAGTACAAGTACCTTCGACGAATGCTACAATCTCCGGAAAACTGCAAGACCCTCGACGAAAACACTTTGACGAGCAGAATTATCGCGGAGGAGTGCACGCTCGAGCTCGAAAAGCGGAAGGAATCACCTCTGCCACAGGTCAACTGGGCGTCGACGGGACAGCAGCAGCAGCAGCAGAAGCGTTGGTCTTCTTCGACAACTGGCGGTTCTACGGAGAAGAAGTCGTCGAACAAGGAGCAGCAGAAGAAAGATGGTCGACAGCAGAACAACAAACGGAGCTCGAAGAAACCTTGCTGGGTCTGCGGAGAAGTCGGTCACTTTGCGTTCCAGTGCGAACAACGTGCCGACAAGAAGAACAATGCTTCCGCGCAGAAGGAGAGTTCTTCGAAGACTGGAGCGCAGAGCGACAACTCCAATTCGACCAACAAAAAGGGACCTTCTTGTTCAATGGTGGGACCAGTTGTGGACCAGCTGCAGACGACCGATCCGCTCATTTCGCTGAATGCGGAAGATGGTGAGGATTTTCAGGCGATTGCTGCAGCCGTCGAGGCCGATCCTGCAGTTGTTCTTCTCGACAGTGGCTGCTCACATCATCTGATGGGCGACGATGCAGCCTTTGTCGAAATGCATGAAGGCGGCAACATTAAACATGTTCGCGGATTCAACGGGGCATTCCAAGAAGTGTGTGGTCGCGGAACAATCGCTCTACGCGGTGAAGCTGGGAAGCAGATTCTGATTCCTGATGTGCTCTACGTACCTGGAATCCATGCGAATCTGTTGTCTGCTGGGCAGCTGAAGGATTGTGGGGTAAAGCTGAAGGATGAAGGTGAAGAGACCCTCCTTCTCTCTACTGATGGGACAGTCCTTGGACGCGCTCGTTATCGAGGACGAGTGCTCAGCACAGATCTCCAGGTGTGGCCGCTGCAGAAATCGGCAGAGGAGGCGATTGCTCTGCGGACCTTGGCGACGGATACACGGGCGAAGATGGATGTGTGGCATCCTCGACTTGCACATGCGGGCGTCGAAACAATCAAGCAGACGGCGACGCATGGTGCAGCGACAGGCTTGGATATTGACAAGTCAGCCAACCCTGATCTACCGTGTGTTTCTTGTGTGGGGGGAAAGCTTATTCGGCTTAGTTTCCCTCAAGAGGGGAGCGAAGAGCAGAAGGTGCTGGGAGTAGTGCACATCGATCTCTGCGGGCCCTTCCAAGTTCCTGCGAAAGATGGCAGCCGCTACTTTCTTCTGCTCAAGGATCGAAAATCTCGCTACGTCTGGCTCTACCCGATTGCGCAGAAAAGCGATGCTCTGCGCGTTTTCCAGAAGTGGCTTCCGCGTGCAGAGAGGCAATGTGAGGCTTCGCTGAAGGCTCTCCGCTCCGATCGAGGTGGCGAATTTTTGGGACGTAAATTCACCGAGTTCCTCGAAGAGAAAGGGATTGAGCACGACCTCACCTGCCCCTATACGCCGCAGCAGAACGGGATGGCGGAACGTGAAATGCGGACTGTCGTCGAAGCAGTTAGGACGATGCTTCTGCACATGGGAGCTCCCCACCATTGGTGGCACCTTGCAGCTCTGCAAGCTGTTTGGGTGAGGAATCGTCTAGAACATTCCTCTCTGCCATCAGGGGTAACTCCTTATGAAGTGCTCTTCGACAAGAAGCCTGACCTTGGGATGGCTAGAGTTTGGGGGTGTATGCTGCAGTACCTCATTCCAGAGAATCAGCGGGGGGGGAAGTTGGAGCCGAAAGCTTGTTGGGGTCTCCACCTGGGTGTCTCGCAGCAGAGTAAGGGGTGGTTGGTTCTCGACTTGTCGAGCAACCATCTGATCACAACGGTCGAGGCCATCTTCTACGAGACAATGTCTCTTGCAGAGTGGAAGGCGACGAAGCAGAGTCCCACCGTCGACCGTGCTGCGCTCGACAATGTGGCATCCTACCCGACGGATCCTGCGGATGATGACGACGATGATGATGAAATGACTAAGGCACCAGCCCCTCTGCTCGTGCCCACGCCGATTCCTCGACCGCAGCTGCCCACTGACAACCCTCCAGTGCAACTCTCGCCGTTGCCAGAGACTCCTCCTGCAGAAGACACTTCTCCTGCAGATGACGCTCCTTCTGCGGAGCAGGTTCGTTCTGCAGAAGACATTCGCTCTGACTCTTCTTCGACAGAGGAGCAGCTCTCGACTGCCTCTTCTTCGACGTTCTTTCCTTCGACTGAAAAATTGGTGCCATTGTCGACACTCCTTGGCGAAGAGGGGAGAAAATTGCCGATGAATGTCGTCGCCAATGAGCGTCGAGAAGTCGAACAGCCTGCAGACGAAAAATCCGCAGAAGAGCGATCGGCAGAAGAGCAATCGGCAGAAGATCGATCTGCAGGCGAGCTGCCTGCAGAAGAAAATGTCGAAGAAGAGATGCCTGAGTTAGAAGAGATTGCCGCCTGCAGAAGAAGGACCGGCAGACGAAAATTTTCAGGTTTCTCGCTACGGTCGAAAGATTCAGAAGCCGATCCGATTCCGTGAAGCACTGACGATGTTTACGATGACTTCGCTCGACGACATGCATGAGGATGTAGTGCAGAAAGAGCTCGACTCTGCTGACGAGTGCGTCGTCAACACGGATCATCGTTGGGACATTTCGACCATGACAGTCGCAGAAGCTTTGCAGAGTTGGAAAGGTGAAGCAGTCAAAGCTGCAATGAGATGCAGACTCTCTACGATCAAGAGACTTGGGAGCTGGTTCCTCGACCGCCTGGGGTGAATGTCATGAAGAATCGATGGGTTTTGACGACGAAGTACAACCCAGACGATACGGTCGACCGAGAGAAGGGTCGACTTGTTGTCAAAGGCTACACGCAGACCCCTGACGACTTCGACGCTATATCTGCCCCCGTCGGAAGCTACGGAACTGCTCGGATGCATCTGTCGAACGCGGCTGACGGAAATTTGGAGTTGATGCAACTCGACATGACGAATGCATTTCTGAATGCGAAACTTGATCGTCCTCTCTTCATGGAGCAGCCCGGGTTCTACAACGACGGGACGGGTCGAGTCTGCATGCTGAAGAAAAGCCTTTATGGACTGAAGCA